CTCAGTAGAGAGCACAGAATATCCTTGAATATGCCTGGTGCCTGTGATAGAATCTGACCAATGGACATGCTCCAGGAAGGGACCCACCGAGCATGTGCAAGACTAATGTTACATAACGGGGAACCACCCCCTTAACTGAATATTCATTTGATAGAGAAACTATAAAAGCCAAATCCCAGCAAAAGGAGGGTGAGGTTGTTGCTTGCGTTCCTGGAGGCAAACTGTTGTTGGTTGTTGCCTGGCTGAGGTGTGTTTACTTGACTTTTTGTCAAACTTACTTTCAGCGAGCAGCTGCCCACTGTCTGGAGCCAGCCTGCACTCCATCCTGAGCTTTAAGTATGTTTTTCTTGCTTTTGTGTTAGACTTGATGTCTGTACCGAACTTACTTTTGTGTTAGACTTGGTGTGGGCCCTGCTCAGTGTCTGGAGCTATGCTGCACGCTCTCTGTGGAATCTGCATTTCTTATCTGTTATATTAAACTTGGTCTCACTTTCTCCTGTGACTCTGCCTTTGAATTCTTTCCTGTAAGAGGACTGGGCGGGTTGGGGCCGACCGTCGGTAGCGCGGGACCCTTCCTCTGACATCAGGAGAGGTCGTCTTTCCAGTTCTCTGCATCTTCCAGCTGAAACCAGAAGTCATACTAAGGGTTTTAATAACTGAATCTAAAGTAAATAAACATGAGTAGGAATTGTAGGTGTTCGTGAACGGTTAATATTGACATACACATCCAGCATATTTAAAGAGTGAATCGTAGTGCATGCCATGGAGTGGGTGAGCAGCTCAGTAAACATTAGTCCTTTCCCCATGGATACCCTCCTCCTCTCCCTGCCCACCGGGTGTAGATTATAGCCTTATTTTTTTTAAAGATTAATTAATTTTTTTTGAAATATATAATCACATTTAAAAAATCAATAATAATTCCTTCATATAATCAAACATTAGCCATGTTTAAATTTCTCCAATTCGCTCCCTTTCCCTCTTTTAATCTTGCATGTATTATCTTTGTCATTCTCATTTAAATAAATAATTTAAGGGGCCGAGCCCGTGGAGCACTCGGGAGAGTGCGGCGCTGGGAGCGGAGCAGCGCTCCCGCTGCGGGTTCGGATCCTATATAAGGATGGCCGGGGCGCTCACTGGCTGAGTGCAGTGCGGCTGGTCTCACAAAAAGACAAAAATAATAATAATAATAATAATAATAATAATAATAATAATAATAATAATAATAAATAATAATAATTTAAGGAATAGAAAGAAGTGAATTGGGCTAGAATAAAGAATTGTCTGAGAGCTCAGACTTACACAACTACGGAGTTTCTTAGCTGACACTGGTAAGGGACATTCAGGACAGCCTGTTCTGTTGAGGTTAGATAATACTGATCAGGTAGGCTCATCTATCAAGTGAATGGCGGTAACCCAAATAATGTCTCAGACATAAAATTCACTGGGCTTGGCAGGAAACTCAGAATGTCGACAGCCCTATTGTACCTTGGGACTGTGATTTCTCTAGCTCTCCAAGTTCAGCTCAGTAAAATCTGCCCAGTTCTTATAATCATATCTCTAAGGGGAGTTTCCCAGGCTGCAGAAAGTAGGATGTATGATTTATTGAGTAGCAGACTTCTTTTTACATCATTTATACAAGATTTTATAAATCTACGATGAGGAAATGCTCCTCTACTATGATGCAGATAGTTCACCTAAATCTAGACACAGGTGCAGTGTAGACACTAGCTTTTTACAGATGATACGAACCTCCAGTATTGTTCTTCCTTTTCTTATTTCATATACATTACAGAACTACATTTACTATTTATAATTGATAGAATGCTCTTGTACCTTAGGTGCTGTATAAAATGCTCCTACTGCAGTTCATTTAAAGCAACCCTATACAGGAAGGGATCATATTTTCTTTATGATCTGGGCAGAACCACATATACTCTTGGCAAATAATGAATACTTGTAAATAATGAAAAGAAAAATTTTAGGTTTAATGCAAAAACATAATATCATTTTCATTTCCCAGTAGACTGTGTGGCCTGCAGTAAAATTCCATTTTAACTATTTTTTTAACCTGATATGCACACAAGGATTTTTGTTTTGGTAAATTTGAAGGTCTCTTATTTTCAAGATTATAAGTTTAAAAATGTTGAATTTATTTAATATTGACCTACCAAAGAAGTTTGCATAATTTACTCTCAAAATTGTTGTATATCCCTATGTGTGTACCTGTTAGCAACACAATACAAATTAGGAATTCCACACATTAAGAAGGGACTGCAAGGGTACAACTGATTTAAACTTCTACTTCATTAACAGACAATCGAACCCCTTAAATAGCCCACTAACTTAACTTTCTCTATTTAACTTGCCAACAATATTCTTTTTTTTTTTTTTTTTATCTTTTTCGTGACCGGTAAGGGGATCACAACCCTTGGTGTGGTGTCGCCTGCACTGAGCTCAGCCAGTGAGCGCACCGGCCATTCCTATATAGGATCCGAACCCGTGGCGGGAGCGTCGCTGTGCTCCCAGCGCCGCACTCTCCTGAGTGTGCCACGGGTTGGCCCACCAACAATATTCTTTCACTTTGCTCTTGTATTTTTGTACTTATGAAATTCCCCAGCCCCTCCTCTGCCACCTGCTGTGTATCTGTATATAGACCTGTCCTTTGCCACCTGCCAGTCAAACTTGCTTTCTAAACAGCATGCCTGAGAAGATTTGTGCAGAGAATGAACAGACCCCTGGGGAAAATGTATACCAGTTTTAGTTATCTACATATAAACTCACTAGGTTGCTACTTTAGAGAAAGTTATCTAGACTAGGAAGAACTAATTCTGCTTCTCCCCCTGAACTTCATTTGCCCTGAGACCTTTGTCAAGGTATTTAATCTCTTTGTGCTTCAGCTTCTGTGTTTGTATAATGGTAATTTTGTCTCCTACTTTATATCTGCTACATCCCAAGAAGAATTTCATGTAGCTAAGTGATAAAAAACAAAACCAAAAACATTAGGATCATATGAAATCATGCAAATGAAAGTTTTCTAATCCATGTACTTCACTAAGTAAATGCAAGATGGCCTTATTGTACAGTTAAATGTCCTATCAAAGTAAACAACAGCAAAACAAAAATGTATAATTTAAAGAGAAATTTTTAAGCTTCAACTGATATATACTTACTTAGAACAATATATCAATTACATGTCCCAGCTTAGTAGTTGAGTCAGACCCTTAAAATTTGCTGCAGGATGATTTTCTTTTGATAATAACCTGTCATTTGTCTTAACATGAGACAAGAGTGATGGATGAATAACAGCCACTGATAATTTCAGAATAACATATTAGCTAGGATGTTGGCTAGCAAACATTTTTATTAAACTTCTATAAATAAAAAAAGATACAAGGTTTGATTGTTAGTTGTTATTATCTTCTTTGGTGATTGGAGTAAGCAGTAAACAGTCTGAAATTAGGAAGTGGCAAGCAGAAGAAAATTAACCCACTAATAATAAGGAAGCACCATCTAAGTCAGAAGAGAGATCGGATTAATTAAAATAATTAAGTATTTTATAATTAAGGAAGCTCTCATATTACCAAATCTTTACTGACGAAGTGTTCCCAGAGAGGGCAGTGGTGCATTAATAATGGGCTATAAATCAAGTTATCACGTGGCCATGGAGAACCGGGGAAACTCTACAGGCCATTGAGAGAGAACTACATGGCCAAAGAATGGTAAAGAGCCTTTCCTCCCTTTGCAAGTTGCTCATAAATCTAAGCATTGTTTGCTCACCTTTTAGGAAGTTGGAAGAGACCTGCTCATTAAGTGTTAGCAAATATCAAAAAATTAGGTGATACTGATTTTTTCCTTCAAACAGAAAACTAGAGCACTATAAATATTATTCTAATTAATGACTGTTTAGCTTGCTGATTACAAGATGGTGTTAATGAAGCTAAAATTGAAATTCATTCTTTTATATTTCATTTCAGACCATTGTTTTCTATATCCCTAACAAAAACTAGCAATTTTTTTAAATGAGAGCACACGAAAGACTGTGCATTAGCTGAACAAAGTCATCAACATTGATGAGAATGAAACTTTGTTCTTTGGTTCCATAGGGGTAACTCAGTAGAGGGAGCCATCCTTGTATCCAGAAGGTAGTGACATCATTATTTTATATTTTACTCTTTTCTTGATGTAAGCTCAACCCTCATGTTAAAGCATAGTTTCAGTCTAAGAATAAGTCCTCTCCAAATATTCAATGGCACTTAGAAATATACTATGTGTTAGAAAAGTATTGATGCCCCTTTCTTAAAATTTTGTGTACTACAGGTGATACAAAAACAGGTAATACTACCAACTTTGAGAGTGAGCACTGAATTACAACATGGCAGTGTGCAGAAGCTTTGCAGATTTACTGGGAGGCTGCAGCACACAGGGAACTTTGTCTGCATGGTGAGTAGAAGACTGCAGAGAAAGGAGCTGGGAAGATGAGTACTATGTACAATAAAGGAAGGCTTTGATGAGCCCCCAAATTGCAACGAGAATATCTACGGTACATGTATGTAGTTTGTAAATATTGATGTGAATGTGACACCAGTATTAGATCCTTTCACCGAAATCAGAGACACTAAAATTGCTTTTTTATCTCAATTTTCACTTCCATGCACTTGCTTCTCATTAAATATGCAGTCAATGAAAATTTTTTCCTATAAGTGTGCTCTTTAAACCATATTTACCAGCATTGTGTATCTGAGTCATCATTTAACAGTATTAAGTCAATTTATTATTACAAAGCAAAATGATTTCTCTGGGTTTCTTTGGGGATTCTTGCTAGTCACATGTAGACATGTCCACAAACACACATGCACCCAGACACACATGCAAACATACACACAACTGTAAA